AAAAAAAAAAAAAAAAACTGGTCTTTACAAATGCATTTCTCGATCTCTGGATAAGGAAAAAAAAAAAAAAAGGCAAGGCATACATCACTTTTCCGATTTATTTTTCCTCTCAAAGCCCGTATCGATCTCGCTTTAATTCTCCACTCAAAAACGTTAGATCACACACACACTGACTCTCTCTCTCTCTCTCTCTCTCTCTCTCTCTTCGTATCAATAGTAATACAACAGTATCATCCCAATATTGGGTTGTATAGAAAAATTAATAAAAAAGGGAGCTGAGAGAAAAAAAAGAAAAAAGAAAAACAAAAACAAAAAGAAAAAGAAAAACAATGAAAAAGAAAAAACCCAAATGTCACAGGCATTTCGTCTTGGAGCAAAGGACCAGGGACAAAAAGATGCTCCTCACAAGCACTTTTCGGATGACACACAAAAACAGAGAAACATAGTACAAAAAGAAAATGAAAAACAATGAAAAAGAAACAGAAAAAAAAGTCGCTCGACAAATCCAGGGAGGCAGCATGGCCTACGCAAATACATACACACGCGATGAACAGGAAAGAAAAAAGATAGATACGGTAATTTTTCATCTTTTGCCCTTTCAACCAACTGGATCTCTCCAACTCTCATGTCTTTTGTACTGTTCGTACGGGATAACGAAGCAAAGTAAGTAAGTAAATAAATAAATAAAACGTACCAAAAAAAAAGAAAAAAAAAAAAAGGGATGAAAATGGGAAGGGGAGGGGGCGAAAAAAAAAAAAAAATTTCTCAGTGAAATGCCCCAAAATGATCCTTGAGGCAAAAAAAAAAAAACTGTTAAAACAAGACTAAGAAAAACATGAAAAACAGAAAATTAAAACCGTGAAAACACGAAAACACACACAGTTAGAACAAAACACATAGACACACACAGACAAAAAAAAAAGAGTACAAAGACATTTCAACCAGAAAAGTAGCAACAAACAAAGAAAAAAAAACAAGAAACTGAAACAAAACCAATGATTTACCTCCCCCTCCCCTATCCCTTTCTCTACGCGATGCCATTCATCCTCTTATCAGTGCACGGTGATGTTGCAACGGCCGCCCAGACACGCTGCCGGCCGGCGGTGGCGCGGCGCCCTCTCCGCCTCCGGCCAGTGCGGCTGCAGGCAATAACACGCCATGACGTCGCCGTCGTCCGTCGGCACCTCCCGCAGGTGGAGATGCGCGGAGCTGCGGATGTACTCCGGCACGCTGACGCCCTCCTCGCGGCGGCGGCGCACGAGATCCCGCAGCAGACGGAGAATATTGTGCAGTGTGTCGTCCTCCAGTTCGCCGCCCTCGTAGTCGGCAACAAGCACGCCGTTCTGCTCAAAGCCGCGAATGCAGTCGGGGGTGTTTTCAAATACAATCGTTGTCTGCATATCACGACCGAGCAGCGTGAGGTCCTTGCGGCACGATCGACCGCTGAACCACTTGCTGTCGCGGTAGATTGTGTGGCGCACAAGTCCATTGGTGTCAATATGACGCACAACGGCCTCAGCGTACTGTCTCATACCAGCCGTCCACAATACCGTTTCGCAGTTCTCGTCCAAAAACTGGAGAAGTTCTTCTATGCCAGGACGCACGTAGAGTGGTCCTTCCCGCGCGTATACAAGTGTTTCATCAAGATCCAATACAACGGTAATGCGGTCAGCCAGCTTGCTTTCCTTCGGTGCGATAAGCGCAGTATTTAACGAGGCGCCTTGAGGTGGTGTTACACGGCGTGTGCGACGATAGGTGGCGCAGGCGTATTCTTCTCTGAAGCTTGCTCCGCGTACTCTCTGTAGTGGCATGTAATGCTATTTTTTTTTTTTTTTTTTTCTTTCT